TCTGGAAATACGTGTGAATTGCACAGAAGTTAGTGTTACGGTCTGTTGCTGTATTTGTAATATTGTGAATTATCTTAAAAAACCCTGAACAAGTTTAAAGGATATAGAAATATTCAATTAAAGCTCACAAAATCAGGTATCCATCGCCCCATGTCTATTATCGCTGATATAATATACTTCTAGGCAGGACTAGTAGACATGTTTAGCTCCACCCCCAGCCCAAACCACATCGACCTGTTAAGGAGTTATGCTACCTGAACATAAAGATGTAACTCCTTTCCAAAAAAGAGTTCCACATAAAAAAGGGAGCTAACTAAATGTGTGTAAGGTAGCATACAGCGTTAAGACGATTGGCAAAACACTGTGTGGGATTTATTGTCAGTATAATTATGAGAAGCTGTCATGTACTTCATAACTCCGATATGTTATCGTATGTATTTGGCAAAGTCAATATAGGCCGGGGGACACACTTGTTAGACTGTCCCGTTAAATACCCCTATCGACCGAATATCACAACTTTAAACAAATCAATACCTATCAGTACAGGAGGATAAACAGTCGCGTCGTTATCCTCATAAAGTCCCTGTTTATGAACTTAACTATTATAACATTTAAAATGATTGTAAAGGAATAGAAATAGTAGACAATCTTAAAAGAAATCACCATTTTTTTCTTTTTCGATCCGTGACTGAGCGAAATTTGGTGATGTTGAAGGGACTATAGAGTTAATTAAACGAGTCTCATATAAAGGATAAACGACAGCTAATTTACTGTTTGACCAACTGTAACGGTCAAGTCCGGCCAGATACTATAGAAATCCCACTTCTTTTGGAATTGCACACCTTGTCCTTGTTCAGACATATACCAATACTAGATCATAATAGAGGGCGCTATACATCAGTACCAGTGGATAATAGACATTGATATCCCGGGCAATACTTTAAAACACTAGGTGATAATAGAGGGGGCTATTCATCAGTACCAGTGGATAATAGACATTGATATCCCGGGCAATACTTTAAAACACTAGGTGATAATAGAGGGCGCTATACATCAGTACCAGTGGATAATAGACATTGATATCCCGGGCAATACTTTGAAACACTAGGTGATAATAGAGGGCGCTATACATCAGTACCAGTGGATAATAGACATTGATATCCAGGGCAATACTTTAAAACTCTAGGTGATAATAGAGGGCGCTATACATCAGTACCAGTGGATAATAGACATTGATATCCTGGGCAATACTTCAAAACACTAGGTGATAATAGAGGGCGCTATACATCAGTACCAGTGGATAATAGACATTGATATCCCGGTCAATACTTTAAAACACTAGGTGATAATAGAGGACGAGGATACGTCAATAATTAAGGATCAACTTGAATGTATTTTTCATGTTATGAAACATCAATAATAGAGGATAAAGCTAAGGGTACTGATATACAGTATTATAAGATAATAGAGGAAACGGGTACCATGTGATAAACATAAGAATAATAGATGATAATAGATGAAAGGGATTCCCTCAGTAATACACCAATAAAGGACACTAACTATCACAGCTAGATGATAATAGCTAGAGGAATTATACATCAAAATGTGTAGCTAAGTCCAAGGACACTAATGTCCTAGGCAATAATACAGGCCTATACTAGAGTACAGTACAGGGCAACAGATACCACTACTAGAGGGAAATAGAGGACAGGACTTCCCAGAGTAATACACCTATACTACAGTACAGTACAGGACAACAGATACCACTACTAGAGGGAAATAGAGGACAGGACTTCCCAGAGTAATACACCTATACTAGAGTACAGTACAAGGCAACAGATACCACTACTAGAGGAAAATAGAGGACAGGACTTCCCGGAGTAATACACCTATACTAGAGTACAGTACAGGGCAACAGATACCACTACTAGAGGGAAAAAGAGGACATGACTTCCGAGAGTAATACACCTATACTACAGTACAGTACAGGACAACAGATACCACTACTAGAGGGAAATAGAGGTCAGGACTTCCCAGAGTAATACACCTATACTAGAGTACAGTACAGGGCATCATATACCACTACTAGAGGGAAATAGAGGACAGGACTTCCCAGAGTAATACACCTATACTAGAGTACATTACAGGGCAACAGATACCACTACTAGAGGGAAATAGAGGACAGGACTTCCCAAAGTAATACACCTATACTAGAGTACAGGTACAGGGCAACAGATACCACTACTAGAGGGAAATAGAGGACAGGACTTCCCGGAGTAATACACCTATACTAGAGTACAGTACAGGGCAACAGATACCATTACTAGAGGGAAAGAAATGACGGGACTTCCCAGAGTAATACACCTATACTAGAGTACATTACAGGGCAACAGATACCATTACTAGAGGGAAAGAAATGACGGGACTTCCCAGAGTAATACACCTATACTAGAGTACAGTACAGGGCATCATATACCACTACTAGAGGGAAATAGAGGACAGGACTTCCCAGAGTAATACACCTATACTAGAGTACAGTACGTGACAACAGATACCACTACTAGAGGGAAATAGAGGACAGGACGTCCCGGAGTAATACACCTATACTAGAGTACAGTACAGGGCAACAGATGCCACTACTAGAGGGAAATAGAGGACAGGACTTCCTGGAGCAATACACCTATACAAGAGTACAGTACAGGGCAACATATACCACTGCTAGAGGGAAATAGAGGACAGGACTTCCTGGAGTAATACTCCCAGAGTAATACACCTATACTAGAGTACAGTACAGGGCAACAGATACCACTACTTGAGGGAAATAGAGGACAGGACTTCCCAGAGTAATACACGTATACTAGAGTACAGTACAGGGCAACAGATGCCACTACTAGAGGGAAATAGAGGACAGGACTTCCCAAAGTAATACACCTATACTAGAGTACAGGTACAGGGCAACAGATACCACTACTAGAGGGAAATAGAGCACAGGACTTCCCGGAGTAATACACCTATACAAGAGTACAGTACAGGGCAACATATACCACTACTAGAGGGAAATAGAGGACAGGACTTCCTGGAGTAATACACCTATACAAGAGTACAGTACAGGGCAACAGATACCACTACTAGAGGGAAATAGAGGACGTTAATATCCAGGGTAAGAGTACTTATCCATAAATACTTAAGATTCTGAAGATTTACATCTCGTCAAACTAGTCATAATGTAGTATCAGTTCTGTATTTGTATCAAACATTTCCGCAGTATTGGATATTTTACTTACATTGTATACATAATACGACTTCTCATAGGAGAAAATGATTATAAATAAAGAAACGTGAATTCACGCGGATAGGGGAGGGTAAACTTGAAAACAGTAATTAATATCAAGGCAAGTATCTGAACTGTGGTTTAAATGACAGCGCTTATACAATTTAATTATATCGAATTAAAGAATACCCACGTATAAATCCGGTGACTTTTTTTCACTCAACACAATAGTTTCAATGTTTAGTCAGTATTATACTATTGGTATTTATGTATTTGTCAGGGGGTTAAACGTTCTCGTATTAGCCAGGGTCAAATGGGGACGGTGCTTAGGAAGAAAACATCGAAAACAGGGGTGTTTACGTGGGAGGTGACCGCAGAGTTCCCAGTAGGCAGGAAGGACATGGAAAACAAATCCACGGGATACAATAGGTCTACTCTTGGATTCCTCCAATGTCTCCTAAACAGAAGACACGCCGGAAGAAACCAACTCCAATTATGTAAGGGTCCCACTGAAGGTCTGTTCTTCCCCGAACTAGTACCAGGGTCCCACTGAAGGCCTGTTCTTCCCCGAACTAGTACCAGGGTCCCACTGAAGGCCTGTTCTTTCCCGCACTAGTACCAGGGTCCCACTGAAGGCCTGTTCTTCCCCGTACTAGTATCAGGGTCCCACTGAAGGCCTGTTCTTTCCTGAACTAGTACCATTTCCTCCTTTTATTCACGACTTCTCTTGTTCGTTTGCAAGGAATAGTCTGTTCGTCATATTGATACGACGGAGTGACAGTCTCCGTGTTATTTACTTTGTGTTAAGTCTGTGGTTTCAATGTGGGAACTATTAGCGGCTTTATGAGCAATGGTGGGTTGAATTAATTAAGAATCTGGATACCGGATATTGGGCTAAAGTTATGAAATCCCATTCTGTATAAATATAAGCTTTTGTTGCGAGACTTTAAATGTTTTTCTCAGTAAAGGGATATGTATTAACTTGTATTCAGCCATCGCATTATATCTAGACAGGATATCAAATTTATTCAACGATTTAAAAAACGTGTGACCAGCCCGGAAAATGTGTGTGGTAGTATAACAAATTATGAACTCGGTAGTCCATAAAGAAACCAATATACTTCATTCTCCGAGTCTCTCTATATTTTTGCAAAACGTTTTAAAGTGGAGCTGACTTATAGGGATACTTTACTATAGCGGTCCATAGCCGACGTAGAATTTTTTAAATGTACCCTGTGGTAATCAACTCAGCCCAATTACAAGGCTGTCAATAAAAAAAATGTCAATATGTGTTACTACAAAACTGAGGTCTGCTAATGTATAGAAATAGTTAATTGTCATAGATATTTTAAAACGGACATCCCATAATTTTATCATTAACTGTCACCGAGATTGGATATTTAATGTCACTATGTTCATATATGTACTGACATCTTGATGGGATATTTTTCTTACGGCGAAATAAACGATGTTCATAACTATGTCCATTTCTGTAATACACAATCCGAACCGAGGCCACACTTGTGACCAAGAAATAATCCAATGATCATTTCTTACTTGTATTTACAATTATTAAATGAGAGAAAAATGTGTAAATAGTAATTAAATAAAATAGTTTCGATGACACCCAGTAAACGTGTATACCACCTGACCACATGACAATAGTTATTATGTACTTGTAACGGTTCCCGAGAAATGGTTGAATTGTCCCGTTATGTGGGTACCTTACCTTGACTGAGTGGTTAACAGGAAGCCGTAACTCTCGGAGGAGTACAGACACACGACGTCCCCAACACTAAGGGTATCATCCATAGTCTCTCACAGGTAAAACATCCACGGGATAATTCGGCTAGGTCACATGTTTCTGTTAAAGAGTTCACAGATATTCTCACCGTATTCCACTCTCGTGGCTTACCGGCTACACACTACAGAGCCTCGACATAGATCGCTTTCTCTATAGCGAACCCTGTCAGTTCATGTTTACATTGGTAACAGTGCGAGGCTATACAATGGGTATGTAGGTATCCACCCGTCAATATGTATTAGCTGTACTCGGTCACATAAAAGCGTTGGCTTATAACGGAAAAACCAGCGCGTCGCGCCTTCATTGGCGTACAGCAAAGCTAATGATTAGTAGATGGATGCTTGCAATGTAGCATACGACTTACTGGCGCTGTATGGAACGATGCGCCGTTACAGTTATATACGGTATACCAAGGGCAAATCCTNCCAAGGGGAAAACCTTTTTTTTTTTTTTTTTTTTTTTTGTCACAAAAATAAATAAATAATAATAGTTTTCTTCAAACTACATGTACACACGAAGGAATCGTATTCTAATAACAAAAGATAAATCATGCCTTTTTTATTATTCCAGCATGCATACAATGTATATATAGACATTATGTAATGCTGAACGAAGTACGAATAGAGGAATTAACTTGGTTCTGTACTAACCACACCGGTCATAGTGCCATGGACATGTATGGTATTAGCGAGCATTCGTAAAATACTAATAGTTCATATAAATAGCTTATGGACATAACAATATACATCAGGAAATACAGGTACTTTTATAGAAACTTGCGCATGTAAGCCAAATATTAGATTATACAGATACTATTTCAAAAGGCCTGTCACGTACGATCGTTAACGTTACACACAAACGACTGTGTTTGTTTATACGTTACTAGGGAGCCTTACAAAGGAAAAAGGGAAGCGTCACGATTCAGTGGTCAGCTATTTGGATCTTAAATGGGTAGCCTCAATGTGAATGTATTTGTGAATGCGATATTAACTTAATTAGGTCGAGCAACACCGACAAACTATTAGCGAAATGAACATGTTGATTTACTTATTAAAACGCTGATTACCTACCACGGGTGGTTGACTTACGTTTTATACGACCATAGTCGATTGTTTAGGAGATTGGTTTTATTTCTTTCCCGGTCCGTCCGTATCGTTCATAAAAAGGGAAAAAAATAAAACCAATCAAGTTTAATAATAGAAAAAGGAATTAATAAAATACAAGATTAAAAAAATACTTTTGATGCGTGGCGTTAGTTTTGTTGATACTGGACATTTAAAAAAAATCAATCTCAAATCATCTCGGCCACTACAAGTGTCTTACATGTATATTTCAAATGACGTAACAATTGAGACGTCTTGAAATTCGTTCCGTTATATTCAGGTGTTGCGCTCTCTTTATATCAAGAGCGTAACTATTGGGTTTGAAGATGCACGAAAAAAGCGTCTAGATATTAGAAAACACTTCGAGTTTCAGAAATCTTCTATTACATCAAGTTTTATACTGATATATCCACACGATCAGTACAGTAGTATTGTTTTTGTTGTAGAGATAATACTGATAGTTATCACCAAATTCATCTTGTGTTCTGGGGCCACCTCAATGCTAGTCTCTACTCACATATTCCAATTTCACCCTATACAAATGTACACTTTTTGACATATGTGTACTAAATGTTAGTGTAATTTTCAAACTGATCATATTTTACAGGCTGGTGAATCGACCGTATAGAGAAAGCATCCCCAAGTAGTGAATACCCATGGTGTTATCTGAAGTCTGTATAATGCGTTGATCATCCATCAATCTTCACTCTTTGATGGTTTTTATCACGGATTTCCAATTGTTAGGCAGCACCATTAAATCAAGTGAAAATAACCAGAAATGTGCGTTTTCTTTATTGCGTGGCAACATGTTTCTCGATCAGGTTTCCGTAAACAGATTTCACATATATACTTGATTTAGCGGATTAGTTATCACATTTTAACAGATAAGTGCATTAATGAATTGGTGCACTTACAATATATGCTATGAAGGAAAACAAATTACAGTTAGCACGGCAATACTTTTATGCGAAAACCATGAAAATACGATTTCAACGAAAATATATACACTAACAGTAACTCTCAACCTCATACACTATCAAACTTAAATGTTGAATGTTAATAAAATCTTAATAATGGCGGTGAGACTGGTAACATTGGCTTTTCCATTTAAAAACTGCTACGATAATTAAGAACCTTTAGGTTAAATATCTAACTGTTACCATTGGCAATATCGTAGAATGTTAGGTGACGTCATTACCCAATCCGCCACGAAGTTAGAGTTGGGAGTATTCTGGAATCGGGTTGTCCGTCTTTCTGTAGACAGAATCGGTTTCCACACAACTCCTACAGTTTTCAGCTGAGTTTTCTGAAATCTTGCGCCTGTGATTAATATTTCGATCTCGCCATATTTATGAGAGTAATGCTTCGGCTATTATTTATGTGAGTGCCCCTTTGTTTTCAAAAAAGTTAACACTACTCCTCCCAAAGTTCTACAATGATTTGTATGATACGTGTTGTGAATACAGTATATTTGTAGGGGTGTCCTCCAAATATGGAATTATAATCTTTGTTTTAAAGATATTCTTAAAACATGGCTTTATTTCAAATAGACATCATTCTAATAGAGACATCTCTACACCATTTTAAGATACTTCTGCGATATTTCATGTAAGTGTTAAAAGAGGGATGTTAAAATGAAATCTTTTAATGTAATAAATTACACAGGTACATTTAAGAGAAATATCTTTGAAGAATTAAAGACATCTCTAATTGAATTAAAGATATCTGTAAATGTAATAGATATATCTCATGTAGTTAGCACTATACGAGATACCTCCAGTGGGTATAAGATATCCCCATAAATTATAGAAATATCTTTATTATTTTACAAGATATCTCCTAAACAAATATACAGTCAACAGCAGCTACAGATATAATAGTATACATACAGACGACCAATAGAGTGAGTCAGGATAGGTTATGTAATGCTGACACAACAGGCTCCTACTCAGTGTCTAATACAGTATATTGCTGTCATGGATAATATTTATGTATTTGTACCTGGGAATGAAAATACAATGAACTGTGTTTTTTTAAGATAAAATGTAATAACTACAGCAGTTTACTCCACGTCCTGTTTATTGTGTTGTAACAAGCCTTCATCAAGGATGTCGTAAATCACGCAATGGACTTAAATAACTAAGGTTGTCGGGCAACCTAACACCATTTAAAAAACTAGATTTTGGGATTTCTTGGAAAACCCTTTCTTTATAACCTGATTTATCAGTCATTTGTCAACATATTAAAGTTTTTTTATTGCTGTTTTACATGGAAAGTTTGTTTTCGTGTCACTCCTAAGTTATCACAGACTTAGACGAAATCTTATTTCATGCTGTTATAAAATATAAAGGCTTGGCCAAAATTGGGATGTTATTAACAAAAGGTTCAATGGGCCTGTATTGCTCACATGTTCAACATTTCTTATATACTACCATCAAAGTATCGACAGGCTGAATTCCTAGGCCGAGTATTGTAATTCTGTACATTACAAGTGTATGTTGAAAGATTTGATTACTTGGTATCCAACAATTAAAAATCTTCATTGAAATTTTCGTTACATACTTATAATCTCACCACCAAAGGTTATAATAAATTTTACCCTTGTGACCTTGAAAGTGTGTCAAGGTCATTAATTGAACAAATATGATAGCCCTTAAACCAAACAGGCTACTGGAACATTTAGTCACCCTAATTTATAACTGACTTGGTTTTTCAAAAGAAGGTTTTTGAAGGTTTTAGCATATTTTACCCCTGTGACCTTGAATGAGGGTCAATGTCAAGGTCTATTATTCGAACAAAGTTGACGGCTCTTCACCTAGTTATTCTACTAGCAAATATCATGACCCTAGACCCCAGGTTAATCAGAAGAAGTAGCATAAAGGTTTAAACACAATTGATGTGCGTGATCTTGGATATGGAAGATAGACGGTCATCCCAGCAAACTACTAGCCAAATATCATTACTTTGGGCATTTTGGTTTAACAGAAAAAGTTATCAACATATTTGCCCCTGTGACCTTGTTTGTAGCTGAAGGTCATTCATTTTGACAAACTGGGTAACCCTTAATCTCAGCATGTCACTGACCCAATCTCATCACACTTGGCCTTCTATTATTGAGAAGAACTTGTTTTAATGTTATCAACACATTTGCCCCTGTGACATTTAAAAGTATTGATAGCTCTTCGTCTCACCAAGGAAATATCATTACTGTAGGCATCTTGGTAATTTCTATCACTTTTGACACCCATGGCCTTGAATATCGGTGAAGGTCATATATTTTCATAAACTTGATAGCCCTTCATCCTAGCATGTTACTAGCGAAATATCGTTACCCTAAGTCTTTTGGTTATTCAGAAGATGTTGTTCAAAATTATGATTGAATGTCATTCTTTTGAACAAACTTTATAGCTCTACATTTAATCATGCTACTGGCCAAACATCATGACTATATGCCTCTTATATATTAAGAACATGTCGCTTAAAGTAAAAGGTTGATGCTTGACGAATGACAGACACTACACTACAGCATAAGCTCACTCAGCGTTTTGACCCGGTTGACCTAAACACTGTAAAAATCCATTTAGTTTAGCTTCAACATCACCTATTTTAAAAGGTCTTCTCAGAATGACGTTTTAAAAAAGATTGATAAATCACAAATATTGTTTTCTAGTATATTTATAAAGGAACCTCCCTGTACAGACTGATATAAGTACATATAATGTACATATACCTACGGGTATATTAACTGGACATAATAATTTACTAATTCATTATAAACTTTATTCTGAAACAGGTTTGTTCAACTTATATTCATCACTCTTGTTTGCCCGGATGTTAGCGCCCTGGGGTCTTGTGGGAGGCAACCGGAGTACCCAGAGAAAACCAACGTGGTCGCGCAGGTGACCCTATACCTTTTCACCTCCGATCAGAGAATCAAACTCCAGCCGTCTTGATGAAAGGCTAGTGTGTTATTCACTACTCCACCCAACCACCCTAATATGAATGACACTAGTACAGGTCTGTTTGACCATTACACTTAATTATTTAAACTATTAAACCCTCCAGTCATGTGTTCATGCTGCTAGGTATACATTACTTTAACCTATATAAAGTGATATTATACTCAAAATCCAAGGGTAATCCGCTCTCAACCCTCTCAGCATCCCTGGTATATGTGACTACAAATATGAAAGCTTGAGGTTGAAGATTACAGAGGAGCTACACCAAACGTTAAAGCCTGTCAATTGTACCCTGTCAATTGTACCGTGACACTGTACCATGACACTGTACCCTGTCAATTGTACCGTGGCACTGTACCCTGTCAATTGTACCCTGACACTGTACCCTGTCACTGTACCCTGACACTGTCAATTGTACCCTGACACTGTCAATTGTACCCTGACACTGTACCCTGACACCGTACCCTGTCAATTGTACCCTGTCAATTGTACCCTGACACTGTACCCTGTCAATTGTACCCTGACAGTGTCAGGGTAAAATTGACAGGGTACGGGGTCAGGGTACATTGACAGGGTACAGTATCAGGGTACAATTGATAGGGTACAGTGTCAGGGTTCAATTGACAGGGTACAATTGAAAGGGTACAGTTTCAGGGTACAATTGACTGGGTACAGTGTCGGGGATCAATTGACAGGGTACTGTGTCGGGGTACAATTGAGAGGGTACAGTGTCAGGGAACCATTGACAGGGTACAGTTTCAGGGTACAATTGACTGGGTACAGTGTCGGGGTGCAATTGACAGGGTACAGGGTTGGGGTACAATTGGCAGTGTCAGGGTACAGAGACAGGGTACAGTGTTGGTGTACAATTGACAGGGAACAGTGTTGGGGTACAATTGATAGGGTACAGTGTCATGGGACAATTGACAGGGTAAAATTGACAAGGTACAGGGGCAGGGTACAGTGACAGGGGACAGTGGCATGGGAGAATTGACAGGGTACAGTATCAGGGTAAAGTGTCAGGGTACAAATGACAGGGTACAATTTCGGGGTACAATTGAGAGGGTACAGTGTTGGGGAACAATTGACAGGGAAAAATTGACAGGGTACAATGGACAGGGTACGGTGTCAGGGGACAGTGACAGGGTACAGGGTCAGGGTACAATTGTCAGGGTACAATTAGTAACCATCCTTAGCCACAGCTTGCCTCTGGGACAGGTCCATTGGTAGCTATGGTAACAGAAGGGACTACCCTGACACCGTCAATTGTACCCTGTCATTTGTACCCTGACACTGCCAATTGTACCCCAACACTGTACCCCGTCAATTGTACCATGCCACTGTACCCTGTCAATGGTTCCCTGACACTGTACCTTGTCAATTGTCCCCTGACCCTGTCCCCTGACCCCGTACCCTGTCAATTTTACCCTGACACTGTACGCTGTCAATTGTACCCGAACACTGTACCCTGTCCATTGTACCCTGACACGGTACCCTGGCAATTGTACCCCAACACTGTTCCCTGTCACTGTACCCTGCCCCTGTCAATTGTACCGTGGCACTTTACCCTGTCAATTGTACCATGACACTGTCAATTGTCCCCTGACACTGTCCCCTTTCACTGTACCCTGACAGTGTCAATTGTACCCTTACCCTGTCAATTGTGCCCTGACCCTGTCAATTGTAACCCGACACTGTACCCTGTAACTGTACCCTGACACTGCCAATTGTACCCCGACACCGTACCCTGTCCATTGTACCCTGACACGGTACCCTGGCAATTGTACCCCGACACTGTACCCTGTCAATTGTACCCTGACACCGTCCAACGATTCCATCAATGTTCATCAAAGACATCCAATTTGTCTACCTGTATCATCTGCAAGGTGTCAGGTAAACAGCCTTCCATATTGTCATGATATAGTCCAGGGGTGTGCTGAGAGGATAAGAGTATTGAGATCAGAACACATAAAGCCCTCAATCTTGACATGATATCTGATAGAAAAAAGGCCGACCAGCGGTCTCTTATGCTATAGGAGTAGATATATTTCTAGGTTAAAAGTCTAAAATTTTAGTACATGTACTAGCCTCTATTTAGTGTAGACATTTGTTTATTCTTTGCATTGTAACCAAAATTAGTGAGATAATATCTTTAGTCTTTGAAAAAAGTTCTTTCTTTGGTTTAATTAAAATCAGGAACATTCAGGAAAGTGATACAAGCCCTGTGGACCTCATATCCAAGTTTGATATAACAGAAACAATTTTGTCTGAAACGTAATAATTTTATGTGATGATGGCCATTTTATCCCTTGGTAACATTTCTAGTCCAATATATAATACACTTTATTACATACTTACTAAAAAATACGTTTTTTTTTGTATATGCAATATGACACAATTGCTCTAACCGATATCAGCCCTCATCGTATCACACCCCAAAACCTGTATCATCCCCACCGTATCACACCCCAAAACCTGTATCAGCCCGCAAAACCCATATCACACCCCTTTTGGATTTTTTTTCGTTTTTCAATATTCCAATAATAAAAATAAATCAGAAGATAGTAGTTTTTGTTAGAAAGTATGTAATAAACAGAATAAAACACGCCTTTTTCCATATCACACCCAGGATCAACCCTCGACCAATATCAGCCCAAGGGCCGAAGGCCCTTGGGATGATATTGCAGTCTCGGGTTGATCCTGGGTGTGATATGGAAAAAGGCATGTATTATTCTCTATGTATACACACAGTAATAATTCCTGATGGTGATGATGTTAATTCCACGCAGATAATTGTTTTTTCTTTATCACAACAAAATGCATTCTAAGGAAAAAGGTGTTACAAGTTCAAGTTCCATCACCTTATAAAAACAGAACTAAGAGTCAAATAAATTACACATTTATTCTTCAACCTCAATTTCAAATAATTTGTCTTTTTCTCGTAGATATTCATGTCAGTCTAACCGTATTACAATGTCTGTAAAAGGTCCATTGGTAGCTATGGTAACAGAAGGGACCCAGCACAACCATAGTAACCATCCTTAGCCACAGCTTGTCTCTGGGACAGGTCCATTGGTAGCTATGGTAACAGAAGGGACCCAGCACAACCATAGTAACCATCCTTAGCCACAGCTTGTCTCTGGGACAGGTCCATTGGTAGCTATGGTAACAGAAGGGACCCAGCACAACCATAGTAACCATCCTTAGCCACAGCTTGTCTCTGGGACAGGTCCATTGGTAGCTATGGTAACAGAAGGGACCCAGCACAACCATAGTAACCATCCTTAGCCACAGCTTGTCTCTGGGACAGGTCCATTGGTAGCTATGGTAACAGAAGGGACCCAGCACAACCATAGTAACCATCCTTAGCCACAGCTTGTCTCTGGGACAGGTCCATTGGTAGCTATGGTAACAGAAGGGACCCAGCACAACCATAGTAACCATCCTTAGCCACAGCTTGTCTCTGGGACAGGTCCATTGGTAGCTATGGTAACAGAAGGGACCCAGCACAACCATAGTAACCATCCTTAGCCACAGCTTGTCTCTGGGACAGGTCCATTGGTAGCTATGGTAACAGAAGGGACCCAGCACAACCATAGTAACCATCCTTAGCCACAGCTTGTCTCTGGGACAGGTCCATTGGTAGCTATGGTAACAGAAGGGACCCAGCACAACCATAGTAACCATCCTTAGCCACAGCTTGTCTCTGGGACAGGTCCATTGGTAGCTATGGTAACAGAAGGGACCCAGCACAACCATAGTAACCATCCTTAGCCACAGCTTGTCTCTGGGACAGGTCCATTGGTAGCTATGGTAACAGAAGGGACCCAGCACAACCATAGTAACCATCCTTAGCCACAGCTTGTCTCTGGGACAGGTCCATTGGTAGCTATGGTAACAGAAGGGACCCAGCACAACCATAGTAACCATCCTTAGCCACAGCTTGTCTCTGGGACAGGTCCATTGGTAGCTATGGTAACAGAAGGGACCCAGCACAACCATAGTAACCATCCTTAGCCACAGCTTGTCTCTGGGACAGGTCCATTGGTAGCTATGGTAACAGAAGGGACCCAGCACAACCATAGTAACCATCCTTAGCCACAGCTTGTCTCTGGGACAGGTCCATTGGTAGCTATGGTAACAGAAGGGACCCAGCACAACCATAGTAACCATCCTTAGCCACAGCTTGTCTCTGGGACAGGTCCATTGGTAGCTATGGTAACAGAAGGGACCCAGCACAACCATAGTAACCATCCTTAGCCACAGCTTGTCTCTGGGACAGGTCCATTGGTAGCTATGGTAACAGAAGGGACCCAGCACAACCATAGTAACCATCCTTAGCCACAGCTTGTCTCTGGGACAGGTCCATTGGTAGCTATGGTAACAGAAGGGACCCAGCACAACCATAGTAACCATCCTTAGCCACAGCTTGTCTCTGGGACAGGTCCATTGGTAGCTATGGTAACAGAAGGGACCCAGCACAACCATAGTAACCATCCTTAGCGACAGCTTGTCTCTGGGACAGGTGGATTGTTCTTATTGGATGTTCACCAAAGTCAAATTCTCCAAATTTCTGTAAAAATATATATTGTAAAATAATAAATAGAATAATCACTGATACATGTATAGATGTTGTACAAGCTCTCAAGTAACAGTTCCTTATAAAGCACATGTAAATCCAAACCTAAGATAACCAACATTAATATTTCTATTCCTAATCCAGTCGAGTGCTGAGAGATGTTACATACACATCTGAATATTTACTTCAACCCATTTAAATAAAGAACATAAACCTTTCTGACACATTTGATTCTATAAAAGGATTTCTACAAAACAGCATTACTTGGGAGAACTTTAAGTTTACTTATTAATTGAAATTTCCACAGCAATTAGAATTACATAGGATAGTATACACTTTCTTGGTTTATTCAAGATGTATATCTTTTGAGTACCAGGAGTATTAAGGGAACTTTATGGTTTCGAGGGCATGAATGTTACCATTTACCTTGGCAACACTTACTGCTAATGATACCTTGAAACTGATTCGTAAATTACATTTCTATTATTCTAGTCATGTGCTCTTGTTTGAGAGGGAATACAGATCAAGGGGCACAACTCTTACTGCACTGCTGCTATGTACAGGTCATCACATCCCTTGAGGCAGAGACGTATAATACATGTATTATACGTCTCTGCTTGAGGTAAAACAAATGATGTGTGTTATTCTTCTTTCTAAACTAGAAGACCCTACACCCTAAATTAGACAAATATTTCAAGACATGTTTCTCAAAATAAATAGTCATGCACGACAAAAAAACCATTTACGCATCACATCAGTTGGGTCATAAGTTGGTCGCAAGTGAAAGGTTAAAGATGCGGGTCATTTAGCAGGTATGCCATGTGTTCACTGATAAGGACTTTTGAGGACCCTCTACTTACATGTTAAAACCAACCATTACAAAATTGACCTCAAAACCAATGACAAAAATGACTCGGAAAACGATCCTGTTTATAAACTAACCCTGAGCACACTCGTCGCATCAAATGACTCAGAAAACGATCCTGTTCATAAACTAACCTTGAGCACACTCGTCGCATCAAATGACTCAGAAAACAATCATGTTTATAAAACTAACCCTGAGCACACTCGTCACATCAAATGACTCAGAAAACGATCCTGTTTATAAACTAACCTTGAGCATACTCGTTGCATCAAATGACTCAGAAAACGATCATGTTTATAAACTAACCTCGAGCACACTCGTCGCATCAAATGACTCAGAAAATGATCATGTTTATTAAACTAACCTTGAGCACACTCGTCGCATCAAATGATTCGTAAATTACATTTCTATTATTCTAGTCATGTGCTCTTGTTTGAGAGAAAATACAGATCAAGGGGCACAACTCTTACTGCACTGCTGCTATGTACAGGCCATCACATCCCTTGAGGTAAAACAAATGATGTGTGTTATTCTTCTTTTTAAACTAGAAGACTCTACACCCTAAATTAGACAAATATTTCAAGACATGTTTCTCAAAATAAATAGTCATGTACGACAAAAAAAACATTTACGCATCAGATCAGTTGGGTCATAAGTTGGTCGCAAGTGAAAGGTTAAAGATGCGGGTCATTTAGCAGGTATGCCATGTGTTCACTGATAAGGACTTTTGAGGACCCCAAACTTACATGTTAAAACCAACCATTACAAAATTGACCTCAAAACCAATGACAAAAATGACTCGGAAAACGATCCTGTTTATAAACTAACCTTGAGCACACTCGTCGCATCAAATGACTCAGAAAATGATCATGTTTATAAAACTAACCTTGAGCACACTCGTCACATCAAATGACTCAGATAACGATCATGTTCATAAAACTAACCTTGAGCACACTCGTTGCATCAAATGACTCAGAAAACGATCCTGTTTATAAAACTAACCTTGAGCACACTCGTCACATCAAATGACTCAGAAAACGATTCTGTTTATAAAATAACCTTGAGCAAACCCGTCGCATCAAATGACCCAGAAAACGATCCTGCTTATAAAACTAACCTTGAGCACACTCGTCACATCAAATGACTCAGAAAATGATCATGTTTATTAAACTAACCTTGAGCACACTCGTCGCATCAAATGACTCAGAAAATGATCATGTTTATAAAACTAACCTTGAGCACACTCGTCACATCAAATGACTCTGAAAACGATCCTGTTTATTAAACTAACATTGAGCACAATCGTCGCATCAAATGACTCAGAAAAAAGATCCTGTTTATAAACTAACCTTGAGCACACTCGTCACATCAAATGACTCAGAAAATGATCCTGTTAATAAAACTAACCTTGAGTACACTCGTCGCATCAAATGACTCAGAAAACGATCATGTTTATAAAACTAACCCTGAGCACACTCGTCACATCAAATGACTCAGAAAACGATCCTGTTCATAAACTAACCTTGAGCACACTCGTCGCATCAAATGACTCAGAAAACAATCCTGTTAATAAAACTAACCTTGAGCACACTCGTCGCATCAAATGACTCAGAAAACGATCCTGTTTATAAACTAACCTTGAGCACATTCGTTGCATCAAATGACTCAGAAAACGATCCTGTTTATAAGCTAACCTTGAGCACACTCGTCGCATCAAATGACTCCCTTTCCTTGTTTTGTGATCCTCTCTGATCTCTGTAATCATTGGGGCGTGACCTTCTATCTTGGGGTCGAGGTACTGCGGCTCCTGTAGGGTCGCGTCTCATCAGTGTGTTCATGATAGTAATGTGAAGTTTCACTGAGCTGTAGGACTGTTGTATTAATCCATTAATGTTGAACTTCTCAACAATACGGTCCACAAGGATCTGCAGCCTGTCACATGTAATTATTTACATCAAATATCACCATCATAAATCCATAACTTCTGAAAAGCTGTTTATCAAATATCTGTTACAGTATGTCCAAACTAATGAGATTCAACATTATATAAAACAAGAAAATCACCACCTTGCTCCAGCTGTGACATACATATACCATAGAATGAATGTAAAATAGTTTTCATAAATAGACCTACATGTTGATATCAGGAAAATTTCAGGTGAAATATTTCATAATCGTCATTTTTTATGTGTTTTTTTGTAAATATTCTTTAGAATTTTAAAAGAAACAATTGCATTGTATTAGCATTAACTTAAGAAATTACAATCAGCACTAAAACTTCAGGAATGACAAGATGCTATATATGAATACAAACTTGTCTAGATCCTCTCCCGGCTCCAATTTAGCATAGAGAACATCAACACAGCTAGGATCATCATTCATGTATTCAACACCCTGAATACGAGGGGCTAGTCGCTGACCCTTCAGAATGGGGCTGAAATATAACAACAGTTCACTAAAGATGTGTTTACCTCCACAAGGTCATCCTTACCATACAGCGATTCCAGGTCCTGCCACTGTTTCTGGACCTGTATGAATTCCACATTGTCTTTGAGACTTTTATAGAAAAGTCTGTCTCTACAAGGCTACACCACTGCTAAGGGACAGATATTTACACCACATCTTCTTGATGATGTTCTAGGAACGTGTTTACCCTGTATGGTGTTTTAGAAACTATTCAAGGATATAAATACTCTTTTTGAACCAATAAGGGTGTCAGATAAAATCAAATGAGATGAGTAGACCCATTACTTGGACATATATCCTTCTTCAAGCAGCATACCTGATGTTTAGACTATTTCCCCTCCTCAGCAGAGCTAAGAATGTCTCTGTATCCTACTCCCTAGTTGAAACCATTAATACAGTGATATATATTATTCTGGAAGAATGTGTTGGTCACTGCATCAACAAACAATGTATCATAACAGTTTTGTTTTCATTATCTTAACTCATAACAGTACAATTTTGATTGCAGAAACTATCTTACAAAAGCAACAGGGTAACCTCCAGAAATAATGAGTCGGTAACAGGAAAACATCTAGGATTTTATACTATAAACAGCAGTTGGCCTGGTTACACACAGAATTTACCCGACAAGGTCTTCATGACACTGTTGGAGAACGTCTAGTGCCTGTTGAACCTCAGCCTCTGACAGAAGCACTAGTGTTCCTAATGTCAGGTGCAACTTCTCTTGTTTCTGGAATATTGTGGAATCAATTCCTCGGTCCTATCAAAAATGAAAGCCATTACAGTAAAAAAAAAAAAGGCTTCATACTAAGAAAACACATTTAAATATGTCTTCCTTTTCACCAAGTATAGTAATAGTGAAATTCATTTATTCCCTGACAGAAAATGGCCTCATCAAGATAAACTCTATGACAAATAGGCCAATATCAAACCTTATTTCTCATGTTCCCTGAGAGAGAAATGTTTAAAACTGTAAAATTTGTAAATTTCCAACAGTATTATTAACCATATATGGAATTATCTTTACTCAAGTTATGTGGGATGGACAAAACGTACCTGTAATAATATAGGTAATGCAAGTTAGTATAATTATTTTTCATGTGAAAATAGCTAATAACACTTAGTTATAGGAAGAAACATTCACTCTTTTTGAGAGAAAAAATGTATTTTCCATACAGAAAATTAGTATTTAATAAACAAAATTTAAAGGTATGATCAAAAGTGAAGGAGAAGTTGGTAAGTTGAATATGACAATAACACTCACCCCATCACACTCCCGTAAAACATCATCTTTAAATTCCAGGAAATTCTCTATTATCTTTGCACTGGTAACCGGGATAGAAAGGAAGTGGGTGAACTGCTCCTTCTGGCGGGCAGTACTGACAATTACATCAATTCTAGTTTTGGCGGAAACGATTCCTTTCCTGTCAACTCCAACAATCGCTGCAACAAAAAAACAGTGACCACAAGCATGATGAGAAATACATCATTAAGGAACACTCTCTCAAGCATGATGAGAAATACATCATTAAGGAACACACTTTCATGCATTATGAGAAATACATCATTAAGGAGCAAGTTGTATGACATCAGAATAAGCCTTTATACTTCTGAAACAAAATCCTCTTCTTAATTTGACTACATTTTTACTGTTTTAATCAAATAACGTCTATGGTTTGATTTTCAAGAAGCGCTATTTTACGTGTTTATGTAAATTAGGGGCTCTGCATTGTTATGTACTTTGTGTTGCATTAAATGACTAGGATATGTTCGTTATATGGGTTTAACTAATCAACTGACTACAAATGCCAAAATAAACTAAACCAAAGCTCCATACTACATATGTAGTACATGTGATGCCAATGGCACTGTGGTGATAGTATAAATGGTTCTGGTGCCCTATATATACGGAGTATTGCTTTATGTCTTTGTTATCTTATCTGTTGAGTTAGCATGGTTATTTCCAGCTTGTCAATGGTGCATTATCCTATGTGATTTGACTCCCAGTAAATTGTTTAATACAATGAGATTGTTTTTTTTATAATTTGATCCCAGTCCTTTATTTTTCTGTCCAATCATTTGAATTTTAGTCTTACTGGGCCCACTTGTGTAAAACATCTCAAAGTTAAGGAAAATCTCAAGCAATGGATTGTCTATGGGAAATCTTAGACATGAGGAAATCTCAAGTGGGGCCTGCTATGTAGTAATGTCAAATATGTATTGAGTCTTAATAAGTAATTCTATTAAATGATTCTTGTCCAATCTATTTTGCTTGTCTGAAGGGACCTTGTCCCTCGGGTATTGTTGAATATATTGAGCATTTGCTCTACATACAGGTGGACTTGTCCCATACAACATTTCCTTTTCTTGTCTATGAAGCTTTGCAATACCTAAACAGGATGCTGTCCTACCTATTGGTCCTTCCTGTCCTGATTTTGGAATTCTTATTTGGGTACGTGTCTCATTTTCTATACGACGTCGTGTTTCCCCTTTCCTGCCGATGATGTGTTTGAACAAAGCACTAGGAATATCTAGTGACAACTGGAATCCACTGTCTGTTTCCTCTATTGGTGTTCGAAAGTCGCAGATTTCATCATTCCAACCACAGTCAACAGGTTCTGATGGTTCTGGAAACAAATCTGCTATTTAGACATACAGATAAAAAGACAGGAAAAATCCAGAGATACATGAATTGATGTTAAACAATGATGATAAAGCACAATCATGGCTTCAAATATGTTTAACTGTATTTTATTATACAAAAGTATGAATCACAAATTGTACCAACTTGTTCAGTCTAATTGTTACTCTTCACTATTATTATTTATTTACCAATCTGTGACTCATTGCAAATGACTGTATTGAAAATAAAATTTTCCTCAAAACAGATTTTTATTGGTTGTCACAACGTCTTTTGTTTTGACTGAGAAATGTCTGTATAGTAAAAAATTGTTTATTCTAAGTCTATTTTGGAAGGAAGCTCCGGGTCCAGTTTAGTATGATCAAATTGCAAATAGAAAATTATTTCTCACATTTATAGTGGAACTGGACTTGGGTGCTTAACTGGATTAGCTTTTGTCTAGGGTTTAGATGGTCCTGGGTTTCAATCCCAGTCTAGTCGTGCATTTTTCTGCTCCTATTACATAATTGGCAAGCTTGCCAATGCTTGTTTCAAGTACTGGGTGAATGCTTGGCAAAGGGATACCAAAATCTTAGTTGTAAAATAGCTGTGTCTCAAGGGGGAAAACTAAGAAAAAAGGAGGGAGGACTGGGGAAGAACTGGATTGAATGTCAACAACCAGGTAGCTGAATTGGTAGTGTGTCTTTCTAGAGTTTGGAGGGTCCCAGGATCAAATCCTGGTCTGGCCGTGCATTTTACCGCTTCTATTACATGTAATTAAATTGGCATTTTACTGATTTTAGTACCGGTTATTCGCTTATGAATTAATACTGAACATATGCTAACAACATGTAGTTTGTACATGTGTCAATCCCTTTGTCAGGAGAAAATCTTGAAGATTAATATTTTAGAAAAGATACAATATATTTACCGTTGTAATCTTCCTCTTCGTCAGCCTCTACATCCCTATGCAGTGATGGATTTTTCCTGTAGCAACGGTCGCCAATATGGATAATTTGGGGCCTCAAAACATCCATCATATCATTACCCAGTCAAACATCAGTAGATCATTACACCTAAAATAAAATTGTGTTCCGTTTCTTTTACTTTATACCAATTTCAGTAATAAACTTAAAACTGTAACCAGTAAATGTTAACCCAAATCACAGTGGTTCGTTACAACAAAATATCTCAAATACACATATATTTGCTTTACTAATATGGGCTACAGTCCACCTAAGCATAATATGCTGTGACCCATATAAGTATAGCACATGTGTATTTTAGACATTTGTTACAAACCCCTGTGCCGAAATAAACAGGTACTGGACCACCGGCAATTCAAGATGCGTCCTAAGAAGCTGGATCAGCTTACACTACATGGAAACTAAATAGCCAGATTTGCCGGTGCTCCATTACCTGATGAAGGATCGATACTCATGGGAATGTGCACCACCTGCTTAACATGATGAAATCCATTTAATTTCTCAGGAGCAATATATATATATGATGAAAATAAAAGCGCTCAGTGTATCTTTTCATTTTTCGAGTTATAAATTAATAATACATCTTCGAGTAAATAATAAATGACTACAAAACGTTTCATTACATGTGGACATTTTTTCTCCTACTTTCGGTTTACTTATAATTGTACCTCCAGTTGGAAGAGTTCCACATAGTGACAGGTGCATTCGAATAAAAGTATAACTTGGAAAAGAAACCTAAAATATAGCAGTTCTCTGGTGGATTCCTTCTAAACAATTTAAAATCATGTATGTCAACATATGAATGACCTTTTACAGATTTGAGTAAACGTTTGACATTTTTCGGAGAATAGTACTGTTCTTGATAGCAGGTATTGATTGTTACGTCATTTTTTGTGAGAGTAACGTCATTATTTTTTGAGAAAACAACGTAATTTTCTCACACAAACTAATGACGTAACAATCAATATCTGCTCACAAGGACAGATAACTCTGCAATACGAACAGACGGAATAGTCAACCATACGTTTCTGTTGTTTCAATTGACTGTAAATTAGGCGATTTTGATAAAGCTGCATTAAACCAATTATATTGAACGGCCATAAAGTCTGCGGCTTTCGTGAGTACAGACCTTTGATGGTGTACATTTAAAGTAATGTAAACACACCCTGAAAGTAAAAATTTCCAAATTCATGGTTTCAGGAGAGCTTTTAAGTTTAAGATGACCTTTGAAATTAAACATCAAAGTTGACGATGTTCGTATGATACAGATTAGATTTTGATCCAAATTGTTGGAATAATCAGATAGAAAATTAAGCAATAAACTACAAAGCTATAAATCATAATCCGCAAAGGTCAAATTGTATATGATATTTCTGATGAATACAATTAATCAAATGTCTTTGATTGTCACTTTGGTGAAAAACAACACACGCAGAAACAAATTCATACATACAAATAATTATACAGCTCTATATAAGGTTTGATCAAAAAGTACAAGCAGCCGCTATGAACAAGATTGAAACCAAATTCTTGTTGATGTTACATGAAGTAGAGAGTTGGTAGCAGCAGAAGCTCATTGTTATAACTCCTGCTGTCGTTACGGTATTACACACCCAGTAACAACGGTGATGAGACAGTAGCTGGTTGTGATGGAGCAGATTGTCAGGAGTATGATGACGCCTACACACAGATTGTCAAGAGTATGATGACGTCACACACAGATTGTCAGGAGTATGATGACGTCACACACAGACTGTCAGGAGTATGATGACGCCTACACACAGATTGTCAGGAGTATGATGACGTCACACACAGATTGTCAGGAGTATGATGACGCCTACACACAGATTGTCAGGAGTATGATGACGCCTATACACAGATTGTCAGGAGTATGATGACGTCACACACAGATTTTCAGGAGTATGACGACGTCACACACAGATTTTCAGGAGTATGATGACGCCTACACATAGACTGACAGTGAGTTATATGTCCACATCCGATTAAGCGGGTTACTACAGTGTATCGTATTTGGTGCTAGAGGAACTCTATAAGATCAGGACACCCAATTAGTTTTGCCTACTGATATTGAACCCTCATTTCAAAATGCTTAACCCACAACATTTTTTAATTGGATCGAAGAGTCATTCAGCAGTGAAAAATAAAAATCGAAAATAAAAGATGCTCTTGATATTGAATATCTTGTTGGCGGTTTTCATAAAACTTGGAGGCACCAGTTTCATTATCTGGCTTTAATAATCGAGTTTTTTTTACTTTAGAAAATGTTTTAAAGATGGCGGTCTTAAGGTAAAGGGTACATAGCATCAGTACACACGTTTAATCGAGAAGAAGAGTTTCAATAATATTTTTGTTGCATGCAGCATATTTTTCTCTCGTCTTTATAGAAGTTGAAGCAACCAAAAGGAGTTTCTCTGACTAAGAGTAACTTTCCATGTCATGCTATTTGGAGGCCCATTAAGCATTGAACTGTTTTTGTATGATATTTATGATCAATTTGAATGACACAGCTTTGCAAGCAAACAACGTAATGCGCGCTAGCGCATTATGATTTGTTTGCTTGCAAAGCTGTGTCATTCAAATAGATCATAAATATCATACAAAAACAGTTCAATACTTATATTTACGTTTTCTCTTCCTCTTATGTTCTTTTTTAACTTATAATTTATAATTAAAGTTAAAAATGCCCGCCTTATCGACAGTCCACACAATTTCGTTCAATAGTTTGAACAGCGTATTGTCGCGTGCTGATTGGCAAGCAAAGTAGTACTTTGACATTTTAACAAAAACTTCAAATTTATTCCACAATTTAGTATCAATACAATTGCGTATGATATGTCTATAGGGTGATTCCAGTTTTTCAATAGAAATCTGAGCTGAAAGTTGGATTTGAAATTGTTTCGATTTTCCCCCGGAACAAATTTCGCGCATGGATAAATACAGTGAACACCGTAAATGGGACCTTGACCTCCACGAGGGAGTTATTTTTGGAAGTTAATTCGAACTTTTCTCTTTGCTCGTTTTGTGAAGAATCCAGGCGTGAATGTATTTGTTGATTGTATGGGAACCCGACAACAGTCGGTAGATTCTATAACAGCATCGTTATTTGACATGTCGTCTGAAACTGAGGAACCGTGGATCCGAGACGCGTGAAACTGATAGCGTTTGAAGTGAGTGATCTTGCGACGGAGCACAGGTTCGTTACAAATGTCTGAAATG